GATTTTGACTATTTTCTATTTTTTTTTAATTTTTTTAATTTTTTTATCAGAACAGGCTGGCCGTTTGAGTCAAACGGTAACGGTTGGACCATTCGAACTGTTAACTGGACCCCTGACTGGTTCGATCACTGGTTCGTTATTAAAAACCATGGTTTGAACTCATGGAAATGCTCTCAACTCTTACTCATATCAAGACAAACTTCAACTGGTTACATGGTACTCATGGAGGTTCACAAAAAAAAAATACTTCTGTCATGTAGGTAGTAAGCAACACTGCTGTTTGATAAGGTGATTTTCATCACCATTTTTCATGTATGTACTGACAGGTAAGCACCACATAGGATACACATCAATCAACCGTTGGGGGAAATGGTTCATGCATCAGTGGGGTCCCGATTTATAAGGCATGCCCGATTTTTCAATAAATGCCTGAACCAAACATTCATACATATGGGCATCTGTTGAAACGCCTATGTGAATCCGACATGACACCGTTTTTTGTTAAAAACAGCCATAATTCCAAACATCCCCTTATTGAAAACCTTTTGCAAACATTTCATGATACAGCTATTATGCATCCAATATACTTTCTAGAATCAACTATATATATATTCCATTAAAAACAAGATGCTTACTTTGCTTCAAACATACTCCCTAATGGTCAAACTCAAATATGGAGTTCGAATGGACTGATTAAACCATAATCCTCCTAAAAGACATTTACATCCCAAAGAAAATTCTTACGCTCCTTCAACAGACACCAAAAATAACCATTGAAAAGAAGAAAGAATCCATTCTCTCTTATTGGGGAGCCATAGAGGCATATACCTTAGACTCTTTTAACAAGTGCAAGGTAGGTTGGTTATAGAAAAAAAACAATGGCTGAAAAGAGAAGCTTAAAAGCGAAATTGGATGAGTACAAAAATGACTAGAATTAAGCTGATAAAAAAAAAGACTAGAATTAAATAATCAATAGTGTATAGTCAAATTTAAAATAGGAAAAAAAAGAGGGTAAACTAAACTTGGACTTGTGATATTAGGTTAGTAAGACCAATCAATTTCTTCTGACTTCAAAGGCTTGTAACACAAACTAGTATAGAAATTAGGTGGAAGATCAATGCCAAACACAAAAGATCAAGGGCCTGTTTGGCGTGTCTTTTTGGAAAGAACTTCTAGTAGCTTTGATATGCAAAAGACGCATTGAGTTTTTGCATGAAGATCTGAGCAGCCCGAAATACGTTTAGTAGATGTGTGCCTTTCCACGTCTTTCCGTACGAAATTAAAATGCAAAAGACATAAGAAGCTTCATTTGGAATTTCCCGAAATCAGTCCAAAATGGGCTTCTTGCATCTTTTGACGACTAAATCTTTCGTGCACCACATGAAAAGAGACAAAAAATCGGTCTTTGCAACTTGTAAACAACCAAAAGATCGCATGAAAAGACAGGCGAAATAAGCCCCAAATTAATAAAAGACGACAAGAACAAAAATAACTAGATTAAAGAATGGATGATTAACATAACTAATGGATCTGGCAAGGTACTAATACGTTAATTAACATAACTAGTGGATCTACCAAGTATATTCAGTACATTAATTAATGAACCATTGACATAAGAAACTTTATCATATATATTTGTAGTGAATGTGATGAAATCCACCCCATGTGCAAGGCTTTGAATTTAGTCCTTACTCGCAGTGGGTCCAAGCTAGCCTCCATGGCCATGCTTCAGTATTCTTAAGGCTTATTTCAATCTAGGTGAAGTTTATGAATAAGTAGCGGATCAAGATTTCAATGAAGTTTGATCGTCAGTTTAGCATAGTTCAATCCTTGTTGACGCAAGTGGAGCTTAGAAAATTGCCCTTGTTAGTTTCAGAGGGTTTGATTTCATTGTTTCACTTTTATTGGATCAACTGACCTAGATTGAGGTTTTAATTGAGGGGTTGATTTCATAAGGTCCTTGGCATCTCTACGATAACCCCATTTATAATACTTTACTGTTTTTATTTCTAGCCTTATTGTTTATTTATTTTTTATTTTTACAAATCAAATATACATTTGCTGCTACTTTTTTCTCATCCAACAAAACCATGACCTATTGATCATCCAACATCAATGATGTTGGGCTTCGCATGAATATCATTTACAATTTATACATGTATACCTCTTTTCTCTAGAATTAATTTTTATTCACTCTCGTTGAACACTTGGTTGTCAATTGGAAAATGACATGGTCCAAGTAAGGTTTATAATGGGACAAATGAACATGTTTATTGCTTTTATTTCACCATAATTCATAATGGCGTGGCAAATAAGATGGCAACAAATATGACACCTAATGATGGCTGTAGAGTAATTGACTAATTCACAACATGGACTAAAGTCGGAATAAGGGAAATTCATCATGGTGATGGACGGACATAGAACTTCATCGAGTTTCAACAACATAGGGTGGAATTATATTAGGTAGCATTTCAACCACATCTACAATAAGGATTATGTACATACTCAACTCAAGAACAAATACAACACCATTAGGAAGCGCCACCAGCATACAACAAACTTATTAATCTTGTCTAGGATTCGGTCCGGGCTAGGGCTCTCGAGAAGTCTCCAACGTTCCCATCCGATCAGTAGAAACCTTTCTTTTATGAGTAAACAAAAGAGAACAAGGTCTCTTTGTTTTTCTCCAGAACATCGAGAGAGAGAGAGAGCACTTTGAATGGTGAGTTGGTGACTAAGGTCATCTCAATTTGATCGAGAGAAAGAGAGATAGAGAGAGAGAGAGTTTTGAATGAGAAGGGTAATTTTGTCCAAAAAGATATGAATACAATTTGTATCCCATACCTATATAAAGACCTTGTATGTTAATGCTCCTATATGATATTTTTCACAAAAAAGTAACCTTCTTCGAAAAGTGTAATTTTTGTTGTCATTAGGGGCAAAAAGTTGCCTTTGTCTGCTAGAATAAATAGATAAATAAAGTAAAATGAAACATTTGCTCCAACTTGAAATGAAAGATGAAAAACAACCCCCTAAAACATCTGTTATCACCAAGATTAAATCATAAATAATTTAATACTTGAAAAGAGAAAAAGGAAAATAAAATTTGAAAAGAAATTCATTAATAACTTTTCTTACTTGATGTTGGGCATTTGATACATGACAAAACAACCCCTAACACGTATTGAAACTGATCATGTATGGATTGGAGGCAATGTCGATGACCTCCTTCCGTTGGAATCTCCTCTCTATCTTCTCTACATTTTCTTAACTCCTTGTTATTGGTGGCGGAAGGTAGAGAAAGAAAATAGGTTTACAAAAACATATAAAACCAGCTAAAAGAGGAGAAATAGAATGATTCTTAGAGAGATGTGAGTGGAAGAGAAAACTAACATGAAGGTTAAGGAGAAGGGAGATAAAAACCTAAAGAGAAAGAAAATAGGTTAACAAAAACATATAAAACCAGCTAAAAGAGGAGAAATAGAATGATTCTTAGAGATATGTGAGTGGAAGAGAAAACTTTGTTCTCCAGGTTCGGTACTATGGAAACTACAATCAAGTTCGAAAGAGTAAAGTATTAGAAAGTTAGAAACATTGGTTGTATTTATATAGGAGGCATTTTTGGAATAATAAATGTATATAGCTACAGTTATCCATACCATATATGGACAAGTGGGAGTAGTGCCCCCATTTTACTATTATTTTTAAAAAGCTGCTCATCCAAATAATTCTCCGATATCACATCCTCTGCATCGTGGTTGCAGAAAAAAATCTGCAACCTTCGAGGAACAACCCACCACGTCACGTGTTGTAACAGGAGAGATCGGATCTGCTCCTTACACCTGGCACCTCACACGCACATCATTCATGCATTGGAAACATCTTTCATACTTGCTAGTTATTTATTCATGAGAGATGTTCTTAATGCACGATGGGTGTGCCTGTGAGGAGCAGGTCTCATCGTGTAACGGAGGGGTGGAAAGGTCATAGTTAACGGCCGTTTTGACCGAAATGAGGAGATCAGATCTGTTCCTCACACGCACATTCTATCATACATTGGAAATATCTTCCATACTTATTAATTACATTAATTCACGGGAGATGTTCCTAATGCACGGTGGATGTGCATGTGAGGCGCCCATTTGTGAGAGCAGATCCCATCACCACCGTGCATTGGGAAACTAATTTATTATTTTGAAGAGATCAAGGATGGAGTTCTGTCATTTTGGAATTAGATTGCCATCAAATATTTATGTGACAGTTAAGAAAATTTTCTTATGTTTATGAAAAGAGCATCATGTAAGTTTGCCCATTTAGTGGCTCAATTTGTTGCTTTGATAATTTGAATTTGAACTAGTCTTTGTTACCGTAATGAAATGCTATTTCTATCCATTAATAAAAATCCAAGTTGATTATTATCTGGGAATTTGGGATGCATTTGACGATAGTTTATTATCTTCTAAACATCCATTGCTCTTTACGATCTTTTAGCACAAAAAAAAAAAGAAAAGAAAAAAACTTCAGACACAACGTCTAAGGTGGTTCTTAAACAAATGCTATTTAACGGACTTAGGGAGAGAAAAATGTTTGTGGTCCTCAAGTCACTGGTGGTTGTATTTGCAGTGGTTCAGCGATGAGTGTTGGGTTGAAGAAGAATGAATGATTTGCTCTAGCTTCGGCCTATTTTGTTTTAGATTATCACAAGTTGCTTTACCAGAGAAGGAGAATGGAGGAGGGGAGAGAAAATGAAGGCAGTGGGTTGCCGATTTGGAGGAAAAGGGAAGAAGAGGTGGCCCAGTTGTGAGTGTGTACCGGTGGCACAACCATCTCCGATGAACGATGGAACAAGAAGAGTTCAGAGCAGAGGAGGCATGACGAGCTAGAAAAAGAAAGAGGGAATCTAATAATGATAAAAAGGTTTGGTGGATATTCATTTCAGTCGAAACGGCCGTTAAATATTCCTTTCCACTATTCCATCATGTTACGTTAAATGACGTGGTGGATTGTTATGCAAATTTTTTTCTACAACCACGATGCAGATGATGTGAACTCCTCCTGTCTGTGAATGCTCTAAATGGATATTAACCCCCTAAAATTGCCTTATAGGCAAGAAACCCAAGGGGATATTTGTCCCAAAGCGAAAGTTTAGGGGTTTTAATTGCAAATAAAAGTTTATGGGTGATTGTCGGGGTCTTCCGGTCTTTGTAATTTACCTAAAAAAACAAAAGAAAAGACCCTTTGCTCTCTTCTCCGGCTGTCAGACTGTGGTTACTAGTGCATAGAGAAGCATATCAGTTTATTGGTGGTTCGTTTTGAAGACATGGTGCTACAGTTGGAGTTGGGCTATTACGAATTTTGACACTCTTCTGATCTTCTCTCATCCCTTCGGTTAATAGGAGGCATTGCAGACGGGAATATTGTTGGTAAGTTGAACATTTTTCTCTTTATTTTTTTGTTGTTTCTTGGATCCTGTAAGCACTTTTTCGAACTGGCCTTTTTTCTGAAAATCGAGAGGTCTGAAATCCATACAGATCGTTGATCTTGTTGGGTACTTGGAATTTTTACGGGGCTTGAGATTTTTTATTTCCCAAATGAGGGTTATATCCTTGTGACCTGATTTACCACTCCGTTGCTCAGTAGTCGCTACTTTAGGTGATAGTCTTATCCTCCAGTACTTCCTGCTGAATGTTTTTGACGTATCTCGTAAAATACAAGAATTCCACCACATGTTTGTGAAAATTCCTCTTTATGCGGAGGGGGACGATTATTTGAGCCTATCATCGTCCCCTTCATTACCCCCCACCCTAAGCACAAGTCTACGAAGCTGATGAGCGCTGAACAGACCCAGAATTTTAGCAAAAATAGTGGGAAGTAGAAAGGAGCAAAGTTGGATTGGATGTCAATATTAATGGAGAACTCCACTACCACGCGGTGTTCATGGACCTGTCCGTTAACCGATCCTATGCTTTCTTTTTCTTTGAAATACTGAACTGATACCGAACCGAATCAATTTGGTTAACCAAGGTCTGTCTTTATCCAATTTATCCATCAATTGGATAAAGACATTCTAGCTTCTGATGTCCTAGTTAGAGATAACCAAGGTATATCCTTTAATCTCAACTTCCGTAGAGTTCTGACAGACATTGAAGCCCAAGAAGTTTCCTCCCTTCTCCTCTCTTTAAATGAAGCCTTTCTTTCTTCTCACCCCCTGATAAACGTATCTGGTCTTTATCTCCCGACGGCATTTTCTCCACTAAATCCTTTTTCACCCACCTTACTTCCAGATCTCCTCCTGCCTTCTTGGTGAACAGAATTTGGCCTCGTGTGGTACCTCTCAATATCTTTTTTTTTTCTTTTTTATTTGGGAGGCGGTTTGGGAGCATATCAACACTTGTGACATGATACAAAGAAGAAGATTAGGATATTGGTACCCCTCTCCCTACATTTGTGTCATGTGCATGATGGATGGTGAATCATCTAGTCACTTGCTAATTAATTGTAGGTGGCTCGTTCTCCTTGGCAATTCTTCCTTGATATGATGTTTGGTTCTAGTTTCTATTGGGCTCCTCCCAATCATGTGGCAAACTTCTTTAATCAGTGGCCTTCTTGCAAAATGGGTTCAAGAGGTAAAATCCTTTGGAGAGCCTTAACAAATGTTGTCATGTGCATAGTTGTCAAGGCGATGCCTAGGCGGGTGCCTAGGCGACAAGGCGCTCTTGGAGGCTTGCCTCACCCAGTCGCCTAGCAGTTTTGTGCACTGGGTTATAAAATACTTTTATAATTTTAATTTTTGACATTATAATTATAAAATAGACATTATTAAACTAGAATATTCATTTTATGTGTTTATATATTAATTTCTTTTTATTATTTTCTTATTTGTTAGGGTTTAATCAATGCAAACATTGCTAACTGCTGTATTGAACCCATGGTTCAAAGTATCGATACACCTTTGTGTATCAGTAGAGGTGTATTAGTACTTGTAACGATACTCCCCCTATTTTTTTTTTATTTTTTTGGTTTTCAATTTCATTTATATATATATTATTTAAAAAATGGGTCCTCGAAAACACCTATAAAGTGTAAACAGGTGTATCGAGACCCCAAAGATACAATACGATACACCCGATACAGTGCGTATTGTATCAAAATTTTGATCCTTGATTGAGCCCTCAAAAATTTCAAAGCCTGAACCAATAAGCAAGGGAAGAACTTAAAATTTTGTCTAATCAACACATTTTCTTCTTCTTCCACCTTTTCTTTTCTTCTTTCCTATAACAAAAGTAGGGGTTCTGCCCCTATATTTTGTGAATTTCTTTTCTTTGTTCTTTTTCTTCTCATAAAACGTTGATTTTCTAGACTTAAACATGAAATTTATACTTCTCTTATGAAAATTATGAATAATTATTAAGGAAAGATGGTTATGGAACCTAGGGAACTACCCTAGGATATATGGTTTTACTTTAAAAAAAAATCCATTGCCTAGTCGCCTAGGCGACTAGGCGACTAGGTGACAAGGTGCCCCCCTGTCGCCTAGCCTCGCCTTGGCGCCTTGAAAATCTAAACTGAGAGGGTTCTGTGATTTGGGTTTATAGTGGCCCAGTTGGTGCTGTAGATGCTTTAGAAGCTGAAATCAAAGCTTTGGTGATGGGTCTGAGAACTGTTAGATCTCTGCAGCTGAATTCTTTTCTCATTGAGGGGGATTCCAGAAATGTTATTAATTGGGCCTCCCATCCAGAAAAGGGCCCTTGGAGGTTGGGTCATTTCCTCAATGAGATTTCTGAAATAGCCTCTTCTCGGCATTGTGGCTTTAGATGGATTACAAGGGAGCTGAACTCAGTTGTGGATCTTTTGGCTAAATCTGGGGTGGATAGGAATTTTTTGTATAGTGCTAACATGTTCCCCCCTCCCTTGATACATGCGGTCTATGGAGAGCTAGAAAAAGGAGGGTGATTAGAGATGTCTTGAGAAAAGAGAGGCTAGATTTATTGATTTTACAAAACAAAGATTTTGGAGGTTGATAGAAGATGGATTAGGAGCATCTTGGATATTAGAGGTTTGAATTGGGCCTTTGCCCCATCTTGGGGGGTATCCTCATGATCTAGAAGAATGAGGAAATGGAATGGTTGGGAGGAATTAATTGGATAGTATTTAATTTTAATTAAAGTTAAAAAGATATCTGATGGGAGGGAATGGGTTTTGATGAACGTCTATGTCTGGGTGGTGACTTTAATGTAATGGGATTTATGAATGAAACAAATAACCCAAATCAAGGCATAGCCACGAGTATGAGGAAGTTTAATGCACTGGTGAAATCATTAGAATTAAAAGAGCCTCCTTTACAAGCTGCTTTCACTTGGTCCAATTTCCAAGAAATCTTAGTATGCTCCAAGTTGGGTGGATTCTTGTTCTTGGTGGATTGGGAAGAACTATGGGGAAGCTTGGCATTGAAAGCACTTCCTAGAGGATCAAAGCTAGGAAAGTCTTTAAGCTCTGACCATTTCTCTAGTTCTTTAAGCTAGGAAAGTCTTTCTAGGGGTCTTGCCCCATTTAGGTTTGAAAACAATGTGGCTAGAAGATCTTGTCTTCATTGACAAAATAAAGGAGTAGTGGATAGAAGATAGAGTCATTTTTGAAAATAAGGGTGTGAGTTTTGCTAAAAAATTGAAGCGATTGAAAGAAAGGATCAAAGCTTGGAACAAAAAGGAATTTGGAAGACTAGAGGAATCCAAGTAAAGGATCGCAAAAAGGATAGAAGAGTTGGACTTGAAAGAGACTCAGAGAGAGTGTAGTGGGGAGGATCAAACAAAAAGGTGGAGGCTGAAAGTAGAATTGGAAGAGATCCTAAATAAGGAGGAACTCTCTTGGAGGCAAAAATTGAGATGTAAATGGCTCTTGGAAGGAGATGATAATACAAAACTTTTTCACTCTTTAGCAAATGGGAGGAAGAAAAACCTAATTTCGAGCATTGAGGTGGATGGATAAGTAATAAACAAGGAAGAGGAAATAATTAAGGTGATAGTGGACCATTTTAAAGCACTTCTAATCAATCTAGGGGAGAGAAACTTGAGCGTCCTAGAACTAGATTGGACAAAGTATCTCCTGCCCAATCCCTAGTTGCATAGAAATCTTTTAGTTTGGAAGAGACTAAAGAGGTAGTGTTCTCAAATTTCAATGGAGAAATCAGAAGCTCCTGGTGCAGATGGTTTTTCTATGGATTTTTATTACGGTTGTTTGGAAATAATCAAAAGCTCCTAGTAGCAAATGAGTGCATTATGGGAAATAGAAAGAAGGGAGAGAAGTGTTTGAAAGTGCACTGTTTCCCCTTTTCTATGATATGGTGGATTGATCTTTCCTAGTTAACATGTTGGAGACAATTGGTTGGGATATTGGTGGATAAAATGGATGAAAGGTTATATTAATTAGTGCACGTGGATAAAATGGATGAAAGGTTGTATTAATTAGTGCACGTGGATAAAATGGATGAAAGGTTGTATTAATTAGTGCACTATTTAATCCTAGTAAATGGTGTTGCTAGAGCCTAGACATTTCTTCTCGGTAAAAGGAGGTTTGAGATAGAGAGACCCCATTTCCCCTTTCTTTTTCACTTTGGTGGCTGAAGTTTTTAGGGGTTGTGTAATGTGGGCACGAATGAGGTGTCGCCTAGACGACCATGGGGCGCCCAGGTGACCATGGGGCGCCCAGGCGACCATGGGGCGCCCAGGCGCCTAGGCGCCTAGGTGTTGCCTAGACGATGGAATCTATAAATTTAAAATCTATAGGTTTTTATACTTCCTAAAGGACCTAAACTATTTTATAAGTCATATTTGCTTACTAGCTACACATTACACTAAGCATAATCAATTCAGCATAGCATACAATCAAGTTTCAAAATTCAGATTTTCAAAATAAAGCATAATGCAAATCAGAAAATTCAATATTGCAGTATTCATGTATTTCCTAAATCCTAAGTAAGCAAGCAACCATAATGCAAATCAGCAAATATTGCAATATACTTATATACAAATAGAAATTAAAAAAAAAATCAGCCATACAATTAAAACAAAACTGATAAAAAAATAAAAGAGCATTAGAGTAGTTCAGCCATGTAAAAAAACATTAATGAAACAAAATAAAACTTAAAACATTTCAAATCTCAAATTTTAGATTCAGCATAGCATACAATCAAGTTTCAGTTCAGATTTTCAAAATAAAACATTTCAAACATTTCAAATCTCAGATTTTCCAAAAAAAAAAAACAAAAGAATGGACTCAACTCAAGGAGTCAAGGGGCGGATGACTGTTGGACTCATGGCCTCATGGGGCGGAGTGGAAGAAGAAGAAGAAGAAGAGTGGAGAGAGGACTGACTACTGAGAGGAATAAAGGGGCTCTGCCCCTGATTTAAAAAAAAAAAAAGAAAAGGAGGTTTGGCGGAGCCCCTGCTTTTTCAACTGAAGAAGGCCGAAGCTGAGGTGCGATGGAGTTGGGCTGGGGCTCGGACGCTCGGTTCGGCTCTCCTCCCTCTCCAATCGAACAAAGAGAACCATTTTGTCTTAATACTAAAACCCTTTTGTCAAAGGGTTTTCTTTAATCTTAATATTAAAATGATACCATGTTGCAGATGTATTTTAAAAGAATACAACCACCAATAAAATATCAAACCAATAAATTAAAAAAATAATAATGCGCCCGCCTAGGTGCCTAGGCGCCCGCCTAAGTTTCTGGGCGGGCGCCTAATATATAAAACTTGGGGCGTTTGGGCGAGGCAACCATAAAAAACCGCCTAGTCGCCTTGACAACTATGATGGGAACTTGGGGATGAAATAAAGGACCGTTTGGTGAAATGGGAGCCGTTATGTAGATCAAAGGAACAAGGTAGGTTAGGTATTAGGAACCTAGTTCAAAGGAATACAACCTTACTAGACAAATGGTTGTGGAGATTTTTGGAGAAAGTGATAGGCTATAGCACAGGGTCATTGGAAGCATTCATGGTGTTATGGAAAATGGGTGGAATGCAAAGGTTGCTCCTTTTGTTAAACCTCCCCTTGGAAAGCAATACATGAGGTTGCAGGTGGGCTCCCCCACAAGATGTGGTAGGTCTTTTTAATCCCAACTTCCTTAGGCGACCAAAAAAGAGAGGGAGAATTATATTGAGGATAGTAGTGATATGGACAATTTGGGAAGAAAGAAATCAATGAAATTTCAATGGCAACTTCACATAAGGAGGAGCTAATAGAAGGCGTTAAAGTTAGAGCTGCACATTGGGTTAAAACACTGGAACTCGTTTGTGTATTCTCATTTAATGAGAAAATGAGGTCTTGGTCAGTAGTGGTGCAGGTTGATAAAAGGAAAGACAAATGTGATTGTGGAAACCTCTAGTTGAAAATATAATGAAACTACACTTTGATGGCTCTTCTATGGGTAATCTAGGGAGGGTAGTGCATAGGGGAGTGTGTTCAGGAACCAGTTGGATTTGGTAGTGGTCATGTGTTTAGGACCAATTGGCATTTGTGACTCGGTTAGAGCTGAAATATTGGCATTGCTACAGGGGCTAAAACTTGTAAATCAGCTAGGCTTCTGAGAGATAAGTGGAAGGTGACTCAAAATTAGTAATTTATTGGACAAGACAATTGAATCCAGCACCCTGAGTTACATACATGAATTCAGGGAGATAGAATGTCTTTCAAGGGAACTTGGTACCACTTTTACCTGGGCTCGAAGAACTGCAAATGGAATTGCAGATGTATTAGCAATAATAGGGAGTTAACTGACTTCAATTATTCTGGGCCAAAATGTAAACCTTGGTTCTTGGGTTTGGTTGGAATAATCCAATTTTGTACTAATCCTTTAATTCTATTCAAATTTAATAAATTTCTGTAGCTGATAACAACAAAAAAGAAGGGAGACATTATCTCCATGAGGTTTGGTGGCTCTAACATAGCTTTTGAAAGTTCCAATTTAAATAGTTTGCAGAAGGAAGGGTCTTTGGAGCCATGTGGATCAGTGGATGGCACCAAAATACAACCGGGTGTTGTATATGTCAAAAGAATATGAGCAATGGATGATTAACAATGAACAAATAATTTCATGGATTTTAGGATTCAATAGAGACAAGTCTAACCTTACCCCTACAGAGAAGGTTTTCAACCCATCATCGACCTAGCTTGTCCAACCAGTCAACCTACACTCGATTGGGAATTTGGGTTCATTTATCCCCTACATCACTTGCTAAAAATCCTTGGTTGAGTCAAACAACCCAATGACCCATCCAATTAAGCCATTGAACCATTTGATCCAGTCAGTGGGTCACCAAGTTGCTGACATTAAACTTTTTTTTTAACCATAACATCATTTATTTTGAGGCAATTTCATCCAAATCCTAAAAACCTAATATCCTATGTTTTAAAACTAATATCCTAAATCTTTTATTTTCCACATTTTTCTGGTACTTTTAACTGTTTTTGTCATTAATAACTATAATTCTTACTCTCTACACCTATTTTTATTAATATGATGAATATATAATAGTATAGACATGCCCATTTTCTTTTATTGTTTTCTGTAGAAAATGGTAGAAAGTAGCTAAAATAATTGTTCTGTTGATTAGGTGCTAATAAGGGGTCATTGGTTGGTCTAATGGTAAAATCTCAGGATGGCAAGCATGAGAATGTGGGTTTGAGTCTCAGAGAAGCACAAAAAATGCCTAAGATTTGGAATGTATCTAATCTACCCCTCCCAAGATCCCAGATAGCTAGGACCAGAATTGGATATGGACTTTTTGATTAGGTGCTAATAGCTCAAATAATTCACATTATCCTAAATGGGTAATTATTATGTGTAGTTTCTAATTTGACAATGTTAATTTGTTTATTATGTATATTTACTAAATAATGCACGTTATCCTAATTGCTAATTGGTATTAGTGAGGTTTACAAGCCTAAATACATTTTCTGAAGATAAATATAGGATTAAATAACACCATTATCATTACTTGGTGGTTGTGTGCTGGTTTTTATTATTTTATCTAAATATGATATCATGATTAATTTGGGTTCAAGAACAGTCCACTCTAGGCAATCCGAATCAGGGATGAACCAGGCTGTTAGATATCAGGAAATAATGGATTGCATGGCCGATCATCATTTCTCCCTCAATGGGACTGTGGATGGACTGTCCTCTTTGATCAAGAGTCAACAATCTGTCAAACATAGTTAGCTTATACTGACAGAATATTTCTCAGATGCAGAAAACTCAGTGATTTAAGAAAGAATCCATTATTAATGTCAACTATATAGGTCAAGCATATAGACGAATATGCTCCACATATATAGGTCATGCATATAGGCCATGCCTATGATGTGTATTGCCTCAAAGTACTGCCCCATGTTCTATAGAAAGTTGTCAAGCATCTTGACATCTTTGGCCCATTAAACCTTGGAGGCTTGGGTGCCTTCACTCTAGGCATGCCCCATAGAGCCCCACTCTCCTCATGTGCCATGGCCTTCTTACACAAGGCCATGTCTCTCCTCAGCTCCTCTAGCTGAGCTAGGGGTGCAACTTGGGCAGGCCCAGGTTGGGTTTTTGTCAAAATTTGAATGGGTCCAGCCTGAAGGCCTGAAATTGAATCAGTGTAAAATGCCAACTCAGGCCAACCTGAGTTGCACCCCGGAGCTGAGCCTGGATGGTGGACAAGTCCTCCCTCGACTTGGATTCTAAAGCCCCATGGTGCTCTTCATGCCTGGCTTTGTTGAGAGAACCTAGCACTCTCTCCTAGAGGTCCTCAAGTTCCTTATCAAGGTCATCAGCACGTGCGCTCTTCCCCCATACTTGTCATGCATGCTAGCTAGGCTGAACTCCAGCTTGGCAAATCTAGCTTTCCAAGCAACAAGAATGTCCTTTAACTGTCCCTCACCTTCTGGTATTTGCCAAGTCTATAGACTTGTTGAATACATCAGTTGCTGAGTGTAAGGTATTCATAATAAACCCTGACTATATGGCTATTGTAGAATAAAACCAGTAGTTTCTTCAAGACAAAGAAGAAAAGCTTTATTGCTATGATTTCATTTGTTCATGAAACATTACTTACTACTGATAATATGGATTTTTATGTCTATATTTTCTTAGTTAATCTTGTGATCATATAATTACTTTTATGCTTGGTGCAGAGACGAGTAACTAGTACTCAATTTGCTTGCTTCTCTTGCAAATAGTTGCTGTTTATGGCATCGATATTGGATCACCAAGCCTCCATCATTGATGGAAAGGCCATTGCTCAGACGATCCGATCTGAAATTGCTGCTGAAGTTTGCACTCTCTCTGAGAAATATGGCAAAGTAACCAAATCTATCACTATTTGTTTATTCATTTCAACTGTTATCTGCATCTTGGTTCATGATCCGATCTTTAAATTCATTCTAGTTGATATTTACACACTGAAGAACTGATCTGACCTTTGATTTTCCATAGGTGTAATTCAATGTTTTTTTTTTATCAGTATAGATGTAATTCAATGTTATTAGTCCATTTTCCTGAAATGCCAAACTGAATTAAGAAACAGAAATTATGTCGACACTGATTAGTTTCTCAACAAATCTTTAATCAAATATTACCTGGGATTTCTTTGTTGGTCTATTTTGAAAGATAGTTAGAACATTGTCCATATCTTGCTGACTGTTTTTTAGTGTGCTTGATTAATATTTTTTTAGTGGACTTGATCTAAGATCTCCTGGGCATCCTTTTTCAACATCACTTTCTGTGGTCATCTTACATGGTTTTGGAGACCTTAATGGTAGAGCTTACTGGCAGCTCAATTTTTAAATTTAGCATGCAAGGAGTTTTTCTTATGAAGTTTTACTTCAATGTAGTTGATTTGAGGATAAGAGCTGTAATAATTTGTCAGCTGATCTTCTCAGGTTCCGGGGTTAGCTGTTGTCATTGTTGGCACCAGGAAGGATTCTCAAAGCTATGTATCTATGAAGAGGAAAGCATGTGCTGAAGTTGGGATTAAGTCTTTTGATGTAGATCTGCCAGAGCAAGTATCTGAAGCAGATTTGGTTGAGAAAGTCCATGAGTTAAATGCAAATCCTGATGTTCATGGTTGGTTGTTTTTAACTTTTTGGACTTTCCATATTTTTGATATCAGGGGATTGACTTTTACCATTATAGAATTCACTAAAGCTTATTTTTGTCTTGTTTACAGAAACTAATAAAATGTATTCCATTTTATTCTATACAATTAATAGAAACTGGTATCTTTTTTAACGTATATTACTGTATCTCTACTCTTAGCAAACATACTGCAGGAATCCATGGCCTTTTCAGTTTACCTGATTCAAATGTTCCAATTCCTATTTAACACCTAATAGAAATGTATCTTGCTCTATTGACAGGAATTTTGGTACAGCTGCCACTACCAAAGCATATAAATGAAGAGAATGTCTTAAGTGAAATTAGCATTGAGAAGGATGTTGATGGGTTTCATCCACTGAACATTGGCAAGCTTGCAATGAAAGGGAGAGAACCCCTGTTTCAGCCTTGCACCCCAAAGGTAACATCCTTGGTGCCTTTTTGGGAGGGCTTTCATGCAGTGACTTCTGGGTTGCAACTTGTAAGGTACACCCCACATGGAAAACCGTGATGCTATGTTTGGTGAAAAGCCTAGAAAGCCCAGAAACGCTTACATTGAGCTGAGAAATCAACTTTCCAGTGAAGCTAGTTTTGGGTAGCCTCTTTGAAGCGGTTCAATCGATCTTATAAACATGCTTGGTCATTTTAAATATTGATTTTATTTCATCCTTTCAGATTTCTATTGTATATGCATGTGCACTTGTGTCTGTGTTTTTGGTTTTTGAAAGTTTGGTATATCTGGTTTTCTTTACAGGGATGTCTTGAGCTTCTACACCGCAGTGGTATCAGTATAAAGGGAAAGAGAGCAGTGGTGGTAGGTAGAAGCAACATAGTTGGGTTGCCAGTTTCACTGCTACTTATGAAAGCAGATGCAACTGTTACTATTGTTCACTCACATACCCATAATCCTGAAAGCATCATTCGTGAAGCAGACATTGTTATTGCTGCAGCAGGACAAGCAATGATGGTAACTAAAGATATCATTCAAAATAATAGAGTAGTCTCTATATCATTCACCTTTCATTTCTCTGAAGAATTCATCTTTATAATTCATCAACTTGGATTGTAATTGTGCTTTCAAAAACATTCATACTTTTAGGGTGCAACCATTAACCTTGCTAAAATTAGTATTTGCCTTTCTATGGTGGTCCAATAGAATGGATGCTATTTGTTTTAAAATAAGGAAATGTGAGGTAGCCAGTGGGACAATGAAAATGGAAGTACCATAGCAATTTGATAGTAAAGCAACTACTTCCATTGGAAATGGCTTAAGAACATAGGAAGCAGAAAAAAAATGTTCCATAAATTGAAGTATTCATGATCATCAATCAAGTTGAAATTTGTCCTAGTGAACTCATAGTTGGGAATTGGGACATACAGAAATGAGGTGTCGCCTCCTTTTCCTGCATCCAAAGCCCAGGTTATTCAAATATTAATTAGTAGTGGGTAGCGTCCCCTAGATTTTTGTCATTTATAAATTATTTCTTGAATCATATTTGCCATAGGATCATTTTTCATTCTCATCAATCCTGATGTTATGTTTACTTTAAAAATGACATTGGGCTCATATACGATTCTTTTTTCACCATTTCCCATCAGATCAAGGGTGATTGGATTAAACCTGGTGCGGCAGTTATTGATGTGGGGACAAACGCTGTTGATGACCCAACTAAGAAATCAGGATATAGGCTGGTCGGCGATGTGGACTTCCAAGAAGCATGCAAGGTAGCTGGATGGGTGACTCCAGTTCCAGGAGGTGTCGGTCCAATGACTGTTGCTATGCTACTTAAGAATACCCTGGATGGTGCTAAGCGTAAGATAGAACAGTAAATTGTTCTCTTCCGTGGTCATTTCACAATACAATGTTATACAATCTAAATCTTATTTTTTGTATTAAGCATTCCACTTTTATACTTTGTGCAATAAAACGAATAAATTCTTTTATGGTGCAATAGTTTTGTATCAAGCATTCTGCTTTCATGCTTTATTAAACTATACCTATTTTGCTATCTGAGTATTAACATCCCTGAAAGTTCCTGTCATTGTAGAATTTGTATAAATAGCTATATATATATATATTGTTGAGATTACCATAGTACTATACTATTATATGTTTGTTGTTTTATTGGTAATCACTACACTGCTATATGTTAAACTTGATTTTCAATAATAATAATAATGATGATGATGTTCAAAACATATCATTATGATTTAAACTTTGTAAATATCAATTTTTAAATTACTTATTATATAATTCTAATATTAAATTGAAGAAAAATTATCAATTTACTTGAGCGATAACAGATTGGGTTCAAGGCTAATTTGAGGTCGGTTCTATTTAGTTTTGGGTAGAACAGACCATTTACTCAGTATTCTTAATAATAATGCAAAAATTTGAATTAATCTGAATCTTTGAGTCTAAGAAATAAGAACATTTGAACGAAAGGAAGTAGAGAAGCTAGGCCAACCCAAATCCATTCCAAAGTATTCAAGTTGGGTCAAGATTAGGATTTGGGGTTCAACAGCTCAGGTTGGGTTTTAGTGTTGATCTCAACCCGACTTGACCTGGTTCGACTTGCCGATCTCTTAAAGAGGAATAAGAAATTTAATGACAAATTAACGAGGGGAGAGAGTAAAAGTTAATTATAGAAAGAAATTTGAAATTGAATTTAGATAATAGCAATTAATAACAATTAATAAGAGAAAATGGTGCTAATGAGGGATAATAGCAATTAATGAAATTTTACATTTGAATAGAGTAAAAGTAGTTACAGTACTGGTCAAGTTTCCATATCACAACTTATCAAAAGAAGTTGGTGGGACAAATTCAGAGATCCTCGTTTTCGGTAGTAACAGGGATGGGGCTGACGGGGTTGGTATGGGGCGGGGTGCATGTGTTTGGGGGAGTTCGGCTTCGGTCAGAGCAATGACCGTTCGAATAGCTATTACAGCTTTGCATTGGGAAGATGTTCGTACATATGTGCTTTATTTTATGAATTGATATTTTCAATGGAAGCCGGTCTCTGTTTGGGGACATGCCTAAAAACTGTCCTTGCCCCATTGCCATTCCTACTCGGAATATATTGGGTGGCATAGATTTTTTTTAGGGTTTTTTCCTTATTTTTATACATCCATTTTATTTATATTTTATTAAAAATTTATTATGAACCAGTCAGGGTCCGGTTCCTGGGCCTAACGGTCGGCCTGTTCTGACAAAATAATAAAAAAAATTAAAAAACGGTCAAAACTGTTGAAAGGTTCAAATGGTTCAACTGCCTGGATCAGCGGTTTACTGACCAAATCAACATTTCTTTTGCAAATATCCGATTTTGAAAAAAAAACGAAATCGATCACCTGACCAGTTCCCAGTTTTTCCGGTCCAACCATCTAATTCGATCTGGTTTTAAAAATCATGAGCCACTCAAATTTCTTTTAGGGCTTTTTTGTCTTTCTTGCCATCTTCCTTCACTCGTTTTTTGCCTCCTCTGTAAAGAGAATCCTAGGAAGGTTTTTATTATTCTCTTTTGTTTGACTCTAAAAGAACCAACGTTACAATTTGTGGCCAAGGCAAAATATGGCCATGGTGCACATGATTGCGTGACATGGTACATATTTCTATGGGTCTATTATAGATAAGGATCTTCGAGGATTTGGACCCAATAAATGTAATATATTTTTTGTAAGAAAACCTGTAAATTTATGGGCAGTTATGCCATCGTCTTCCAAAGTGTGAAAATGAAGAACTTCTCTATTCATTTTGTCCTATTTGTCTTTCTCTTCATCACTGCTGGTCAATTTTTCTTCTCTTCCATTTTTTTATTTTATTTTATTTTTTATTCTGTTTGGATGCATTGCAAAATGTTTTTCTTCCTTTCTCTTTAATTTTGCTTTTATTTGGCTAAGAGTACAACTTAGGCTGGGTTGGGGTCTGGAATTTGACAAATTTCCATTTGCCCGAATCATAACCCAAGCCTAATGTAGTTGAAATTCTTTAAGGGGATATTTGAAAGTGTGGATAGTTTGTTTTGGTCCATAAAATGCCCCCATTAATAGCATTCCTTTGATGCTACATCACAGACTGGTCCACTCTATAGTGTGGGATCAGTCCACACCAGGGTCAGTGTGGTGTGATTTGAACAACACCACAATAGGGCCTAATGGATTCAAATGCACTATACAATATCTTGTCCAAAGTACCAAACACTCCCCTAAATCAGACAATAACCCAACACTCTAACCCTACTTTTGGCTTTTACATATCGAGGGCCTGTTTGGGAGGGCTGGTTTGATGATTCAGCCAACAAGCTGATCGATCCAACTGCTTAATTTGAAACACTTCGGATAAGTTATTCAAGCAGGCTGAAACCGATAACCCTTGGGCTCTCCATATTTTAGCTTATATATAGGCTGTTCATGTGGGGCCCACCTCAGAAAGCTAGAAGCCCCCTGTGCTTCAGCCCTCCTAAGTTGGTACTAAGAGAGAGTGCTTATGCATGCCAAGTATGAAAGCTTGGGACCATGCTGATCCATTAATTCATGGACTTGTTTCTTCTAAGCTCATCATGTCTAGGTTTTTCAACCATGGTGTATTATTTTGGCATCAGGCTGTATTTGAAAACCGATACAAACACCCTTTTTCATTTTGTTAATTTTGAATGGTTAACAAGAACTCCATATGTTGTGTAATGTCTTATTGAGAGATTGTATTTTGAATGCAGGGAATGTGTCATTGGCAGTAGGCCAGAATTGCCCGAAGCCTGGTCCAAGAATGGGAGAATGCATTAACCACAATTGCAATGACACATGTGCCAAGGGAGATTGTGAAAACATAGTGAAATGCACATGCATCATTCCTTGCTGATTCAGATAACTTTCCTAGGTTTTCTTTCTGGTCTTATGTGTTAATGAGATGGAAGCTGGAATCAAATGAAGCACAACTTATGTCCTCTTCTTTTCTTTTATTGCTGTCTTTTTCCTTCTCATTGTTCCTCATCTACATAGAGGTGGATTTAAGTCGAGTCAAGCAGAGTTGAATATTAGATTGTTAGAAAATTATAAGGCTTGAATTCAGACTTGAGCTTGATTTGAGCTAAAAATGTGACGGTGAATTCCGCACGATTCAAAAACTCATATGTTCTGAGTTCGATGATGAACCAAGCTTATTTGAGCTCGAATTCAAACTCAACTAGAAATGAGAATAAAGCACATTTAAACTGAAATGCGTCTTAATGTGTTTCTTCTGCATATAGATACAAAGTTGGTATTAGAAATTGGAGGCGTTGCAAAATCCTTCATATATGAACTATAAATCAATTGGTTTGCCATGAACTAATGCTCATTTTACTAGTAAATAAACGCAAAAGGTGCCAACTGGTTGATTGGTACAAATGGGATTTCCTACTCGCTTTTCTTATCCGCCATGAATTGCTATTATGAATCGAGAGATGTGGGACTGCCTTGACAATTCAAGGCAGGTAAGAAAAGTGAATAAAAAATCTGGATTCTGGTTGGTAAGGTCTCTTGCTACTTATAGCAGATGGGGGCACTACCCCCATTGTTGTGTGTGCCTACTAGATCCAGTCCTTCTTCTAATAACAGTCCATAAAGGTATCTGCCACCTAAGCATAACAAATGTATTTGTCCTTTTTGTCTGTTTGATGGGGTGTTTCCAGAAACAACACCATAAACAATCTAGTGTGACATTCTTGCTTTATGTTAGAGTGCCATTAAATTGATCTAACGGTCTAAAATGCCTGTACACATCTATAATGGCTGAAATTGAGATTCAATAGTTGATCTTGCATGCAAATCAAATATAAAGGCTCATATCATTTGATGATCACATCTATCCTATAAAATTTGAACTACTCAAACCATTGACAAAGGAAAATCCTTCTTATTTCACATATGTCCTTCATTAAATTAGAAAATAATAAAATGATTTTTATTTGCTAATATAATAATTAGTATAATTAAATATAAAAGCAGTGCATTCATGATCTGCGATACACCGGATCAATTATTAATGCTTCCATGTAAGAGCCCACATCTGTGTCATATGAGCTTTTCATTTTAGGAAATGATGGGCGCTTGGACGAAACGAGAATTTGAAACTTCCCCAACAGTTATTTTAGTCACTGGCATTAACATAGTGATATTTTTCTAGAAAACCCAAACCAAACATCCTAAAAATCACTGGTAAACAAGCTGAATTGAACCAGCTAAAAACTTGGCAAATATCAGTTAGAAAATGTATTTCATTTTTCAGTCCCAATCTGATTTTGACTTTTGACGTTTTGGCCCTCGGAATCTAACCTGTCAAATTTAAGGCCCAGTTTGAGAGAGCTTTTGTGTCGATTAAGCTGCAATTAGGAGTGGATTTGAGTCGAGTTGAACCGAATATTTGGTTATTCGAGTTCAGTTTGCTAAAATTGTGTTAGGTTCGAGCTCAAACTCGAATTCAACTTGGTTCAAAGTTTGCAAGTTCAAGCTTAGCTTGGTTCGAGCTCGATTGTAAGTTATGTTTTTTTTTTCTAAATATTAAAAATTATAAATATAAGAATATTTTTATTTTACATACAAAAAATTAAGAATTATAAAAATTATTTATTAATATATATAAATATATACATAAAAAATGTTTTTATTTTACATACAAAAATAAGAATTATAAAAATCATTTACTATTATACATAAAAAATAAAATATTTATATATAATAATATATTATATGCATATAATAAAAATTATTATATTTATTATACTAGGCCCAATTAAGTTTACGAGCCTCATGAGTCGAGCTTCACTATGCTCGAGCTTGGCTCGATTGGCAAATGAGTCTATAGTCTATATATCAAGTTCAAGCTCGGATCAAAGCTCGGTTTAAACTGAGCCGAATCGAGCTTTTCACGAGCCGAACTCGAATAACTTGTCTAAAGCTCAGCTTGTGACCA